AATACACTGTAAATATCTCTGTTGTTGTAAGGAACATTAGATTTAGGTAAATACATTGTAAATATCTCTGTTGTTGTAAGGAACATTAGATTTAGGTAAATACATTGTAAATATCTCTGTTGTTGTAAGGAACATTAGATTTAGGTAAATACATTGTAAATATCTCTGTTGTTGTAAGGAACATTAGATTTAGGTAAATACATTGTAAATATCTCTGTTGTTGTAAGGAACATTAGATTTAGGTAAATACATTGTAAATATCTCTGTTGTTGTAAGGAACATTAGATTTAGGTAAATACATTGTAAATATCTCTGTTGTTGTAAGGAACATTAGATTTAGGTAAATACATTGTAAATATCTCTGTTGTTGTAAGGAACATTAGATTTAGGTAAATACATTGTAAATATCTCTGTTGTTGTAAGGAACATTAGATTTAGGTAAATACATTGTAAATATCTCTGTTGTTGTAAGGAACATTAGATTTAGGTAAATACATTGTAAATATCTCTGTTGTTGTAAGGAACATTAGATTTAGGTAAATACATTGTAAATATCTCTGTTGTTGTAAGGAACATTAGATTTAGGTAAATACATTGTAAATATCTCTGTTGTTGTAAGGAACATTAGATTTAGGTAAATACATTGTAAATATCTCTGTTGTTGTAAGGAACATTAGATTTAGGTAAATACATTGTAAATATCTCTGTTGTTGTAAGGAACATTAGATTTAGGTAAATACATTGTAAATATCTCTGTTGTTGTAAGGAACATTAGATTTAGGTAAATACATTGTAAATATCTCTGTTGTTGTAAGGAACATTAGATTTAGGTAAATACATTGTAAATATCTCTGTTGTTGTAAGGAACATTAGATTTAGGTAAATACATTGTAAATATCTCTGTTGTTGTAAGGAACATTAGATTTAGGTAAATACATTGTAAATATCTCTGTTGTTGTAAGGAACATTAGATTTAGGTAAATACATTGTAAATATCTCTGTTGTTGTAAGGAACATTAGATTTAGGTAAATACATTGTAAATATCTCTGTTGTTGTAAGGAACATTAGATTTAGGTAAATACATTGTAAATATCTCTGTTGTTGTAAGGAACATTAGATTTAGGTAAATACATTGTAAATATCTCTGTTGTTGTAAGGAACATTAGATTTAGGTAAATACATTGTAAATATCTCTGTTGTTGTAAGGAACATTAGATTTAGGTAAATACATTGTAAATATCTCTGTTGTTGTAAGGAACATTAGATTTAGGTAAATACATTGTAAATATCTCTGTTGTTGTAAGGAACATTAGATTTAGGTAAATACATTGTAAATATCTCTGTTGTTGTAAGGAACATTAGATTTAGGTAAATACATTGTAAATATCTCTGTTGTTGTAAGGAACATTAGATTTAGGTAAATACATTGTAAATATCTCTGTTGTTGTAAGGAACATTAGATTTAGGTAAATACATTGTAAATATCTCTGTTGTTGTAAGGAACATTAGATTTAGGTAAATACATTGTAAATATCTCTGTTGTTGTAAGGAACATTAGATTTAGGTAAATACACTGTAAATATCTCTGTTGTTGTAAGGAACATTAGATTTAGGTAAATACACTGTAAATATCTCTGTTGTTGTAAGGAACATTAGATTTAGGTAAATACACTGTAAATATCTCTGTTGTTGTAAGGAACATTAGATTTAGGTAAATACACTGTAAATATCTCTGTTGTTGTAAGGAACATTAGATTTAGGTAAATACACTGTAAATATCTCTGTTGTTGTAAGGAACATTAGATTTAGGTAAATACACTGTAAATATCTCTGTTGTTGTAAGGAACATTAGATTTAGGTAAATACACTGTAAATATCTCTGTTGTTGTAAGGAACATTAGATTTAGGTAAATACATTGTAAATATCTCTGTTGTTGTAAGGAACATTAGATTTAGGTAAATACATTGTAAATATCTCTGTTGTTGTAAGGAACATTAGATTTAGGTAAATACATTGTAAATATCTCTGTTGTTGTAAGGAACATTAGATTTAGGTAAATACATTGTAAATATCTCTGTTGTTGTAAGGAACATTAGATTTAGGTAAATACATTGTAAATATCTCTGTTGTTGTAAGGAACATTAGATTTAGGTAAATACATTGTAAATATCTCTGTTGTTGTAAGGAACATTAGATTTAGGTAAATACATTGTAAATATCTCTGTTGTTGTAAGGAACATTAGATTTAGGTAAATACATTGTAAATATCTCTGTTGTTGTAAGGAACATTAGATTTAGGTAAATACATTGTAAATATCTCTGTTGTTGTAAGGAACATTAGATTTAGGTAAATACATTGTAAATATCTCTGTTGTTGTAAGGAACATTAGATTTAGGTAAATACATTGTAAATATCTCTGTTGTTGAAGATGCTATACTGACAGTATACGAAGGAAATGAGGATTGAACGCAAATATTGAAACACATCTCTAAGAATAAGGGTGTTTTAACGTGTGTATGGGGTGATTAGAATTGGACAATATTTCTGCTGATAAGGAAGTTATACTCAGTAACTTGGAGGGGGATGATAATTGTGAATATATCGGCGGTTGAGAATGCTAAACTGACGGAATGTGGAAGAGATTAGGATTGGGTTTATGTTATCTCTGATGATCAAAACGTTATACTGACGAGATATGGAAGAGATTAGGATTGGGTTTATGTTATATCTGATGATAATGACGCTATACTGACGGAATATAAAGTGTAGAATAGGATTGGATAACGGTAATTGTAAACAAACCTGTTGTTGAGAATACTATGCTGACGGGATATGGAAGAGATTGGGTATATGCTATATCTAATGATAATGACGCTAATCTGACAGGATATGGAAGATATTGGGATTGGGTATATGTCATATCCTATGATAATGATGCTATACTGACAGGATATGGAAGAGATTGGGATTGAGTATATGCTATATCTAATGATAATGACGCTAATCTGACAGGATATGTAAGATATCGGGATTGGGTATATGTCATATCCTATGATAGGACGCTATACTGACAGGATATGTAAGAGATTGGGATTGGGTATATGTTATATGTAATGACGCTATACTGACGGGATATAAAAAGTAGAACAGAATTTGATAAAAGTAGTTGTCAAATTAATTCGGTTGTCTTAATCATTTTATTGTAACATGCGGAGCAGCTGAATATTGCAGTCTTACACAGACATAAGGTCATTTCTATAGGAATATTGCGGTCTACCATAGGAATTACTATAGGAATTTCGACACCTAATCGATAAGTTGCCTTCTAAATGTGTCGCTGTTTTATCTTGCAAAATCGTATAAATAAGAAAATGAGATTTGAAAAAAAGGAAAACAAATTATTTTGCTTAAAATTCACTTCGGGAATGTATCCTTATTTTATATGTACATTGTACATACAGGGCTAGGTTTTGTCACGTGTTAGCCATTATTGAAAACAAAAACGCTTCTGTAGGTTACTTGAAATTCCCTGGGGCATCAAATTAAAGTTGGATCGGCTACGTTCTTCTTTCCGACAATAGGGAATCCATTTACTATACCAGTAAAGCCTTCCTTCAATTTTTTGTGTCCTGAATTATTAGATTATCTCGGTCTGGTCTTTAAACTTAAATGTAACGGAGCAGAAGTAATTTGTCCAAACGAAATTGGTTTAGAGAATCGTTTTTATTTGTTTTTGAGTTTTTTGAAGAAAACATGTATGGCTGTATATATGCATAAAGCCTTCTTTCAAACATACTTTACATGGTTTCAAATACGTGCTGTTGTATTCTGCATGTCATTGCATGGCTATCCTATGTCTATTGGTTATTTCATTGTTTTCTACATGTCTATGTAAAACTACGTGTTACAGGCAATAACAAAATTACTTTATATTTATACAATACATCCCCAGCCCAGTTATAAACCACACCTTCCCCACATTACTGTAGCAACAGTTGCTTTTGCGAGCATTATTTTCGCAGTATACAAGTATATTACAATATCAGATTTCCGTCTAATTGACCAGAATTATGATACCAGCGTTATCTTAGCCTCTCTGGACGCCTGCTTTATTTGTGCATATGAGTTTATCGTCCAACTCTCCTATAGCAATTCATAGTGTATTACCAGTAAAACAACACGTCGGTCTATATCTATGATTTAATTTAAAAGACAAATAACACTTAGTTATGAAAAGTTGAATTGCCTTAATACAATTTTTAATATATCTCTATTCCCTAGAATTTCTCTAATTCAGAAATTATTTTTTCAGCAACTCTACAGTCGTTACTGTTTTAATTATTTTTATTTGCGGTTATCACATTGGAGCTGAACATTGATCAATGATTATTTGTTTGTTTGTTTGATTTTGTTTAACGTCCTATTAACAGCTAAGGTCATTTAAGGACGGCCTCCCCTGTGTGCAAGATGCATGCGTGTAGTGTATGTGTGTGTATTTTGGGAGGCTGCGATATGTTCGTGTTTGTCTCCTTGTGATAGCGCGGAACTGATGCCGACTTTATAGTGCTAACTCACTGAAACATACTGCCGAAGACACCCAGCAGGACGCCCCACCCGGTCACATTATACTGACAACGGGCAAACCAGTCGTCCCACTCCTAATTTGATTATAACAAGGGAATGTCAATCATAGTTTTAGATACAATTATTCAGTGTGCCTTTCTTTAATAATAAAGAACTGATTACGTCATTTTGTGACTGATTTCATGTCTGCTTGTTTTCAAGGTTGTTGACATTATTTTACATTATTTACAGGAGATAAGCGTACACATTTAAATGCTCATGACTAGACTGGTGATGTCACCATTATAAGGGCAATATAATGGTTATAGATATACACATTGAAATGTTTAAGTCATACATGTAGTTACTCTGACGACATTATATGAATTTATTATTTTAATATTGATGACGTTTGTTTTTCTTTATCTTTCTAGATCTGATGACGTCACGTCGTCCCGTTGTACCCAGTCGATTTGTTGGTGACCTGCCAGTGTTGACGACCATGGAGAAACGGTATATTAAGGTCTCTATATTCTTACTACCGTTCGTCCTGTACACTGCGGTGATGCTGAAGATGCTAGACAAAGCCTGCCAAACGGAGATATTCACAAAACACGCCACTCCTCCTGATGCATTCCCTCGGGTGTTGGAACAAAGTCATAACTCTACAACGCTACTACACTCGGTATTAAGGAAGTATGAAGCCATAGACAGACAGAGAACGAAGCTATCTGAAATGCTAAACAAACTCTTATCTGGTGAATCTCCAGAAGCTCTCGCCTCCAACGATCTCGCAGTGCGATACTTCAACGCCAGAAATTTGCGAGATTTGAAAGGGTTTGATAAAATCGGTAGTAAAATTAAAAAACAGACTATAGCAAAAGCGAAATATGTTTTCAACTGCACAAACGTTCATGAAATTAAATTAATAAAGAAAGTTGGACATGGCGTTTCAAAACAAGCCTTTCTAGGAAAGTTCAAAGGTCAACCGGTGGCAGTAAAAATGGTGACACGTCATCAGAAAGAGGTGAGACAGTGCTTAGAGGGTATTCGGGAAAAAGGAATGGAATCGGATAATTTTCAGAGGTCAAGGTGTTTCGTTTTTCCAACGATGAAACTTATGAAAGAAATATTACTTCTAGAACAACTTGACCATCCGGGTTTTGTGCAGTTGCTAGGTTACTGTGTCCGTAGTGAGGAAAGTGACAGTACGGACATGTCCGAACATGGGGTTGTGGCTATATACGAGTACGGTGAGAGATTCGTACTAGACAACCTTCAATTTTTACCAATGAAAGCTAAACTTCTTCGAGCTGTTAATTTAGCTAAATTTTTACAATATTTAGAATTTTCTCCGTTGGGATCGCTTCGCATCAAGGATTTTAAAGAAGGCCATTTTCTGTTAGTAAATTCTTCTTTAAAGATGATTGACCTGGATGATGTAGATAATATTGAGCCATCCTGTGATATTTATTCTGATATTGATCATATCACTGAAAACAATAATATTCATTATCGCACGTGCGAATACGATATCCAATGTCAAATGGGGTTATGTATTGGTTATAATGCTAAGCAAAATTTAAAATCTATGAATAGACTATTCTTTAAAAGACTCCTGTATCCATTATCTTACCCTTCAGACATTGTGGAATCGTTAACACAAGTCAACACACGACTGGAAACTCTAAGCATCACAGCGCCAGAACTCGTGGAGGTTCTAGAGAGTTCTCTCTCACACCTATAGACACAAAACAAATGGCGGACGACTGTATAAAATCCAATTACTATAGATCTACAATCAGCCGAGTCGAGAAGAGATGGGAATTTTATATAATTACCTTTGTCGCAGAACATTAAGTTAGCCTGGTTGAAGACGTCGGGACTTGTGGCTGTTACCAATCCCGGTATCGACTATCTATTGTCATACACATAAACGAGGGGAAATAAAAGGTTGTTTTCTTGTGAGTCAATCCTTAATTTATTGTACTCGCGTCAAAAGAAGCCCTTCCTATTCGGATAGACGTACATGTAACGAGGCGACTAATGTGAAACATATACGAATATTTACATTAATATAAAATCCAAAGGATAAACATTTCCTCTATCCTACAAGCCGAGGCATTAAAGATAAGTTTTCTCTCATTCGAATTGCCAGTATAACAATGACAACTATTTATATAAATCGTATATCATAATATGTAACGATTTCCCCTCAAAGTATAACAATTTTTACACAAAAAATCGATTGTTTTTCATAAACAAACAATTGATATCTATGTTGTTCGTCTATGAGCTAGCAGTAGTATACTTAACCAATTGTTATGAATAGACAGTGTGAGGGAAATGAGAAGTTGAAAAACTTGGTAACTAACATTTCTGACTCAAAAAATGACTTTTTTTTCCAAATATTTAAATCGCAGGACTGTCATCGTTCGGCGATCGGCGATTATAAAAAAAACGCTCCAATAATTCAAATCTATTGAGAGCCGTACAATGCCTAAATCCACCTCAAAGTTGAAACAGGACGGCTGATGACAAAAATATTGTTATTAGTTTTCTCCCTACTAGCTGTATAGTTTGACGGTGTGTACTCCCCAATTTGTGTGATACGTATTTGACAATGACACAGGATTTTAAAGGCTATCACAAATTGGTTAGGGTTGAATTGGATTGTATCGATGTTAAGTGATTGTTGATCTATAGTTTATCATACAGTGTTTTCAAGGTTTGTTGTTCCTACAATCTCTATTTGATAGTCTCTCGATTTTAGCCACGTGCTCGCGATGACAAATTGTGTTTGGGACATCTAAAAGTCACTACGGTAAATCTAAAAAGTGTTTTCTCCTATTGATATTTTTTTACCATTCATAATTCTTCAACATATTTCGTACATTGATAATATTGTAACACTGCCTACGGAGTAATGGTGTCATGGTTTTAGTATGACTATAAACAAAATCAGTATGATAAAATGTTTGCGTTTTACAATCAAATCTCTTAACATAAAACCATAAACATATTAAGTACAATCGGGTTACTTTGTCTAATAGTTCTGTAAACTTAAGAAAATGTCATTGACGCTCTATCTAGGCGAAGACGGAAAAAATAACCCTTAATAAATGCATCAGATACAGAACACAGAAAGAAAAGGTACAAATTGATGTCAAGCACCAACTCGTGTTGATAAAAGATTAATAAGCCAATTTCGTGAGGTGAATACGGGAGTGGTGATAATTTATAGCAATGACAATAAATTGTAGGATTGAAGATCAATTGAAGGTCAGAGATCAAGATTCTCGATTGCCATAAATATTCTACAAAAATGGCCACATGACAACATGCTTTAAAAACATTTTTGTTTTGAAATTATTCGATAAATCTACATAACATTGTTGGAGCTATTAATAACATCTGATATAAATTTGACCATAATCAAAGTAATGTTTATTACTTAACATTGCGTTTTCCCTGTTACGATACATGATTTTGTTTATGTAACCATGGTTATTACAGGTGTGTCTTTGTTTTTGTGAAGACACTTAGTGTTTCATACAGCAAGGTAGTTTTATAAGTCTGTGTGCAGGTACCATTTTGTGTTTTTGGTGTTTAATACCATAATTGTTGGAAATCCTGTGGAATCATGTATGACACAGCAGTTAATAATAATATGATAATATATAACATTTATATAGCGCCCTATATACATTGTAAAATTACTCTAAAGCGCTTTACAATATATGGATAATAGTAATAGTCATATTTGTGAAACAAAGGCTTACATACACACACACAACATGTTATTGAACAAATAAAGGGTGGTATTTACATGACGTCTTTGCAAAGACCCTAAAGTGCAGATGTGAAAAGGTGAAATTTGATGTCCCTCTTGAATTTGGCCAGGGAATTTGACTTTCTAATAGCAGATGGTAAGCTATTCAACAACGTGGCCGAAACAATCCCAAAGCATCGGTTTCCATCCCAAAGCACCGGTTTCCATAGGTCACAGTACGAGAGTTCGAGACACAATTGTTAACATTTGCAATTGTGTTTAAGATAAACCATTCCTTGTCAAAACTAAAGAGAGAATATTTAAGAAATAGTACTAGTAATGGGTAAAACGATTTTCAATATAAGTTTGATTTTAACTTATAAGTTACTTTAGCAATCAATACATCATTGTGAAAATATTGCTAGTTCTTTAAATTGAAGTATAGTGCTAAAATATTTGGACATACATAACAGTCTCGATAAATTCATTATTGTATCCCTTATTGAAAATTGTCATTTCCCAACAGTTATGAATGGAACGGTATTTCCCCCCATTTTTCATTTTTACTCAAAATCAAAAGTGAAGTTCTTCTGAATATTTATTTTTGTTTCTAGTATGCTATGATAAATGATATTGTACTGTTTGGAAACATGGCCTTTAGATTTTATGTACAGAATGAATAATGTATATGAAATTCATATATATAAGATTAAATGGGTTAGAGGTATGAAAAGTTTTGCAATATCCTTTTAGAACAATATTTCAAACAAACATTAATAAGCTTATTAATTACCTTTCAATATTATCTCATAGCTACATTTGACTTCTATTAGCATTGCTATGACGTCAGAGTTACTTCTCCTGTTGAAATACCTTTAAAGTACTATTTAAAGCCATGCCATTTTTACAATAAAACCACATAGACAACGTAAAAACCTATGATAAAGTCACGGTTTTCCCTATGCTGCGTAATAATTTACTTGTAAAGCAGCATATACATAAAAACATGTATTCAAAGTTATTTTTCCAGAAGACAGAAGTAGAAGAAGCAATTATAACAATTGTATCGGTTAATATTTCGCATTGTTCAGGGTCACCATTGGGAAACTGATTACTTGTTGTAATAAATGTATACAATGTTATACCGGAGTTACTTTAACACCATAGTAACACTACATCTGCTTCCTTGATAATCCTGCTATCAATATTCACTATGAAAAGGATATTTCTGTACTTATTACATCTATAGAAAACTATAAAAACATGATTTTTCGGAAAGTCCAATTTGAATGCAAATACTATAATTTGTTGGAGCTCTGGATTGTGGAGTATTTTGAGAGAAAAAATAATGTCTTATTTTTGCATCAAAACGGACTGCAAGTGAACAAACAACTTTTTCAAATTATTCAGTTTTTCCTTTATGTTGTATTCGTGCGCCGATCTTCACAATTGTTTGTATTCGGAGCCATTTGCTTTGGTAAACAAGAAGTATACCGAGAGGTCGTTGTCCTCGTGCAGGTTTTATGCCACAGAACTTATTACAACTACACCATTACAATGAGCATTTGTATGTTTTATGTTGATAGACTATAGAAGGAATGACTGGTATTGGTAGGATGGAGCGTGTTTGAATATAATAACATTTCTGTAAAAGGCGCAAAATTGTGAAATGTGTAAAAATGTGTAAAGTTGTATAGTGTGTATATGCAATGATAATAAAATATTCAAGTTTTACAAAATTATTGTAATGTTTCTTAACCATGTTGACATTGTTTATCGTTTGTTTACAGGTTTGAGATAGGGTTTTTATAACTATTTTCGCCCTAATCAGATCGACGTTATACAGGTAAAACTTCTTTATCTGAACAGTTTTAACGAGGAATTTCACAAATTTGACGCAAACAAACAGTTAAATCGTTTTATATTTTAGAGATCCTTTACTTCCGCCGATATTTCAGCTCACCTTAGAAAGTTAAATAGCAAACGACGTGAAACTTACAATGTAAGTTTGAACTTTATTTTTATTTGGAAGTTTATAGCATTTCAATGTTTTTTTCATTACAAAATGACGTATACTATAGAAAACGTTCCCTGCGTACCTTTTAGATGTATACAATTTCGTTACTTGAAACTTTAAAAAGCAATAGCCTTACACTTTCAGGACGTTCAATTCACAACATTAACTTGTGTAACAATCAGCTTAGTCGGTGCCAAGTCTCTCTGTATAAAAATGATACTCATTCATCTTGATAAAATGTCAAGCAAAGGGAATGTAATTCACTTAGGAATATCTTTCTCCGTGAATTTGTTTTCTTTGATATTCTATCAATATAATTTTAGTATCACGGGGTGTAACTTCATCAAATATTATTTGTTTTCCACATTCTGAGATTCTAAATCGAATATTTGTGAAATTAATCACTGTTTCGATAATAAATTAAATTGTAAGAATGCATTACACCAAATGTCCGTTCAATAAGACAAATTTGCAATTCGTGTCTGGAAGTGATTGAAACAAAGACATTTATTATATAGAATATAAGATGCGTTAACGAAATACAACCAAAAAGAAACAAACTTTATCATCATATGAAGTACCATGGAAGAAAGAGACCATTTTTATAAATGAATGTCCCTAGTGCGCCTCTTATTGCCAGTGTAGTAACTACTTACGGCGTGAAACAGACATCGGATGGGCGTTACATGGGTTGTAATTGTCAATTACACCAGCCGTCATTTACTTTAACCGACAGCAATGGTTTAATAATTAACTTTATTTTCAGCTATATCATGATACAACAAATGAAACCGTACATGTTAAAAATATTTTCGCAGAGAAGTGAGAAATAAATAATATTTTATGCTTTACAGAACGTCACCAAAGTCATTTGAATTCAGAATCAAACATTGTTCATATCGACCGGAAATTCACGTTCAAATTCATTTTTTTTCATTTTTTTTCCATTTTTTTTTCA